TCCAACACACACAGCTTCACATGTGAACATAGAAAACAACCAACACACACAGCTTCACATGTGAGCATAGAAAAACATCCAACACACACAGCTTCACATGTGAACATAGAAATGTGGAAAAAAGAGCTGAGCTGGCATGAAACACATTTTGGATCAAACTTTTAGACGTTTAGAGACAGCTCACCTCTCTGTTGGTGGATGCTGGTTTGGTTTAAAAGTTATTGCAAGATCCTTTGACTGGTCACTCTTCAAGGACAAACAGCTGAGTCCAGGTTCTGGTTCTGGTCCAGCTTTGAGWCTCTGATGTATCCTGTCAGAAATATATTTAATGCTGATTTACTGGTGTCAGATCCAGAGCCTGGATCCTGGAACATTCTGGATGAAAGTGACAGGATTATTTCATCTCAGTTATTGATCCTGAAATGATKTTTTCCAGCTGTAGAACACCACATCTATGATTCTACATTCCAGCTTCTCCAGTTCTCCTTGTCCTCCTGCAGCAGACATGTTGTTTTTTCCTTTAATTGGATTAAAGTGAATAAGTGTGTAGTATTCTCTGTAGATCAAAGTTTTTTATTCTATATATCTGTACCTGTCAATCTGAGACAGTAATGAGCTCCAATTCAGCTGATGTTCATCATTTCATTTAAAATCCATCTGATGGATCATCTGCACAATAAATACCACAGCTGAAGGCTCAGTCTGGTTCTGGTTCACTGCACGATCAGCATCTTTTAAAAACTCACACTTAGTCAGAATCATTCTCTCTGTTCAACAAGTGGTTAAACAAGTTTGACAAAAAGTGGAAACGTAGAGAGAAAGAAATAAAGTTAAATGAAAACATCTCTTTAGTATACAGTCAGAGTGTTGATGTTTAGCTGTGACGTGGAGCAGAGTGGTGGACAGGTACAGGTGGTCTCTCACCTCTGAGTGGTTTTAGAGGGAGGGGCTCCCTCCTCTCTGTCCTCACACTGATCCATGCTGCTGAATCCCTGAATCCACATCAGCTCACACACACCTTCTACCTTCACCTGCAGAGGAAACACATCATTCATCTTTCCATTATTTGTACTGTAAACAGASCAGCTGATCCTCCTCTGATTGGCTCTTTGTCTCTGGTTCATTTCAGTGTCAGCTGAATGCAGTCAGACAGCAGAGTGAGGCACAGGAAGCTGCAGCAGCTGCTGGACTTCTCTACGTTCCACTTTTAGACTCAATCCTCGAGTCAGAAAACAAACAAAAAGCTAAACAGAGAAAGCTAAACAGTGCATTAGCCTCACTACTAGCAGTTAGCTTAGCCTTGTTTCCAATCCAGGTCTTGTAAAATGATGGAGTGTAAACTCTCCCTCTGTGTTACGGTTGAACTAGGTTGGTTTGAACCCCAGGATGCAAGACTTAGTGAGGGTGGCAAAAAAGGTTTATTAAAGCAACAAAAACAAAAAGCTGGCGTGGCAGCAAACAAGATTCTTAGGTTTAGCTTGAGACAATGACATGAACAGGAACAACACAACAGAGAACAAGGATCTGACGAAGACTGAGGACAAAGGACAGAATATAAAAGAAGAACTAATGAGGT